CTGATAGCAACTTCTTCTTAATGTGTGGGACATGTAGCATATTTTGTAACACCAGAGGTCTGAGACTAGAAGACATAAAGCCTTGACCAACATGATCAATTTTAATTCCTTCACCATTTCCCATTAAAATAGTATTGTTACCTTTGTATGTCATACCTGAATTGAACGGTACAAGATCATTTGATACGTGATGAGTGGCACCCGTGTCTGGATACCACAAAGCATTAGAGTGTTTTGAAACACTCTGAACTGCTGCCATACTAGGCATAGTGGAAAAAACAGTAAGTGCAGTATTAACAAACGACTATTATCTTTCTGTTGTTGTAGGATGAGCTACACAGTCCCCAGGAAAGGTATTCATTACCTGATTCGAGGAGTAAGGCAGTCCTTGACGAGTGAAAGCATAGGGCATACCCTACATAGAGCTGGATGGATAGTGGTAGAAGACAGGAGAACTCAACATGTGATTATACGCATGTCCATTCACAGGAACAATCTGTTCAGACGGTTTCTTCCACTGCTCAACAGACGGTTTCTTCATTGGCAACTCCAGTGAAATCTCGATCAAAACGACGATAACACCGCTGAACAATGTGCCCAAACTTTCCACACAACTGGCACTGTGGTCGATTCGAATTATTAAACCTTTCTCTGCCTCGACCACGATAGCCTTCATGCTGACCTCTCATGGAATAAAACTATTTTTCTGTTGCATCCGTTTCAGTGATTGCTTGAGACCTCGACCAATTCTCTTATTTTGACTGAACAATCATATTTGCAGCAATACCATCGCTTAAAAAGGCTTTTTTCCTAGCCTCACAGTCCAGAAGCATTTCAGTGAGACTATCCAAGGATACTACATCATGAGACGCTATAGAAATAATGGACTCGAATTCCATTGACAACCCAGTAAGAATCACACTTACTTGTTCTTGTTCAGGTACATCACAGCCAACAGCATTCAACAAATCACAGATTGTCTTGATCTTGGCTAAATAATCACTCACAGTCAAGCCAACTTTCCTCTGAGAGTGCAAACTGTGTCTAAGAGGAGAAATCTTGGCACTAGAATGAACTCCAAACAACCTTGAAACTGCATTCCAGATTGTACGAGCGGATGTGAGCCCCGTGAGATGTGGCAAAACCTCCATGCTAACCGTTGTCAATAACCACGAAGTAAGCAACTTGTCTTGTTGCCTATGCACAACATACACTGGATTTCCCTCAAGCTGCCTAGACTCATTTGCAAAAAACTGAGAAGGAGCAGGACTATCACCAGAGATATAGGCCAACAATCCATATCCATTAATTATAAGGGTCACCTGATGTTTCTAAAGAAGGTATGTTGACTCAGTAAGTTTTATGACATCCTGTTTAGGTATATGTTGCACACTGTACAGGATTGAAAATCCATATGACGATGAAGTAACTATGGTATTCACCGGAGACTGAACACCAGCTTGTTGTAAGTCCACCATCTTCAAAGAAAAGCAAGAACCTTCAAGAACCTCCAAGAAAGGAAGCAAACTAGAAACTGCAGGACCGTTTTGGCAAATGATACCATGTAATGATTAACAATAGATGTCTAATCTGTGTAAGCAAGAACAGAGAACAAATGAGAAACAAATCTTCTGAAATTCATTATTTTCAAGTGTGTGTATTACAATTCTCAAGGAAAGTATTTATAGCTAGTACTATAACTGATGATGTAACTAACTTCACAACAAACTAACTGCTTCAACTGATCAGCTGCAGTGAACTAATCCTCAGCTGCACAACCATCATGCACAGTAGTTGCACGTGTACTTATATGCCATGCATTTACATACACTAACATTCCCCTTGCAATCTTCAACTTCAAACCTCCTTCAAACTCAAGACGCATAAACATGATCAATGCTTCTCCAAAACTTAAATTGAACTAATGTTCATTTACACTAACACTCCTACCACAACCAAGAATGTCTTGGACGCAACTGATGCTCATCTACTCGCGTCCATAACACTTGAAGGAACAAACTTCCTTGCTAATGCACAACCGATTCTGTCCAATGTCCCTGCAAACATTGTAGCCACCCTATCACCACTCAAATCCAAGACCACCGTAGGATGTTTTATCGGGTTCGACGCCGAGGAGTCGAAAAGCCATCACGTTGTGCCCATAGGCAAGCTCAGTGGCATAAGGTTCATGAGCATATTCAGGTTCAAATTCTAGACTGGGTTGGGAACAGTGGAAAAGATATTGAGCACGAGACACAGATAATGATTTTGGATAAAAATAAGTCCGGCCGCCGTCCCTACGATCTTCTCCTTTCACTTCTCGAAGGCCTTTCAGGGATTCTCTCCAGCCGGGAGTTGATGATAACGTAGACTTGTGCATGGAGAATGGTTCCACCAAGGTGATTGGCTCAACCTTCCAGAGTTGCATCTACATGCACGTTGGTGATGATCCGTATAAACTGGTGGGGGACGCCATGAAGGTCCATCTCGAAACCTTCAGGCTCCTTGAATATTGTAGACAAATTTGGTTGGTGCACTTGGGATGAGTTTTACCTTAATGTATACCCTAAAGGCGTTTGGAAAGGTGTCAAAAACCCTAGCTGAGGGTGGCTGCCCTCCGGGGATAGTCATTATCGACGATGGGTGACAGTCCGTTTGCCATGACGATGACCCCATCAGTGATAAAGAAGGCATCAATCGAACTTGTGCCGGTGAGCAAATGCCATGTAGGCTGATAAAACCAGAAGAGAACTACAAGTTTAGAGAGTATGAAAGTAGTAAGTCACCTAATAAGAAGGGTATGGTGCCTTTGTAAGGGACCTAAAAGAAGAGTTTAAGAGCATAAAACATGTATATGTGTGGCATGCGTTATGTGGACATTGGGGTGGGATTAGACCCAAGGTCCAAGGAATGCCTCCCGCAGAGGTCATTACCCCTAAATTGTCCCAGGGCTTACAAATGACAATGGAGGATTTAGTAGTGGACAAGATTGTGAACAACGGTGTAGGATTAGTCCCACCGGGAAATGGTTGACGAGTTGTACCAAGGACTTCATTCTCATCTTGAATCGGTGGGTATTGATGGCTTCAAGGTTGACGTGATCCATGTAAGTTCTCCAACCCTCTCTTTTATGACACTGGATAAATAATGAATTACTCGAATTTGATTTAATCAAAGTTTAGTCATACTTAATTCGAGCTTGAGTTTGACCCAATTTATTAACAAATTTAAATGAATTATTTAATATTTAACTCGAAAAAACATTTATACATATTTCTTTTTCAACGAGTACATACATAAAAGTTAAATTTGAATTTGAATTTAAGTTTCGAATCGGATGATGGAACTCAACAATATTCAATTTCCACTACCCATCTCATTTACCGCCCTACTCTCTTCTATGCAAGTACACACCGCTAAGCCTAAAATGAAACAGAAACCATGTCTTGGCGCGTGTCCCTTTGGGTGAATGGGTTATAAATGGTGTCAATGCAATGTATTTTGTTTTACGTGCATCATGTGAATGTTTAATAAATTAGGTCCACCTTTGTTGCTTCATTTCCGGATACGTCATTTCAGGCTAGTGGTGGCAATTTGGCAGTCTCTTTCACATGTAACATTATTGTGCTGATTGCTGTATTTCAGCTGCTCGAGATGCTGGCGGAGGAGTACGGCGGACGTGTAGAACTCGCCAAATCGTATTACGAGGCTCTGACGGCTTCCTTGAGAAAAATTTCAAAGGGAACGGCGTTATCGCTAGCATGGAACACTGCAATGACTTCTTCCTCAGAACAGCGACCATTTCACTCGGTCGTGTCGGTATGTATTTCAAAACTGGAACACGACGGAACATTTTGGCTTCTCTACGTATGATTTAGGGTTTAGGGTTTAACTCAAAATGTTTTGTGCTTCTCTACGTAGGTGATGATTTCTGGTGCACTGACCTCTCGTGAGATCCAAACGGGACATATTGGCTTCAGTGTTGCCACATGGTTCATTGTGCCTACAACATCTTGTGGATGGGGAATTTCATACACCCGGATTGGGACATGTTCCAATCAACTCACCAATGTGCCGAATTCCATGCCGCGTCTCGGGCTATATCCGGTGGACCGGTTTATGTGAGTGACTCCGTCGGACAACACAACTTCGAGTTGTTAAAGAGCCTTGCATTACTCAACGGATCCATATTGAGATGCGAACACTATGCTCTCCCTACGAGTGATTGTCTTTTCGAAGACCCTTTGCATGACAGGAAAACAATGCTCAAGATTTGGAACCTCAACAAAGTAAGATCATAATTTCAGTCATTTGCATTGCTAAAGGTGTGAATATCTGAATCGTTTGCATTGTGTAATCAGTATACAGGAGTGTTAGGACTGTTCAACTGTCAAGGAGGAGGATGGTGCCGTGAATCCCGACGGAATGAGAGTGCATCTCAGTTTTCAGCCATGGTCGGCTGCTTTGCCGGCCCAAAAGACATCAAGTGGAGCAATGGGAAGAGCCCAGTTCCGGCGAGCATTGCCAGCATCTTTGCTGTATACATGTTCAAGAAAAAGAAGCTAATGCTGATGAAATCATCAGATAAAGTAGAGGTTTCACTTGAACCATTCGATTATGAGCTACTTAGTCTCCCCTGTGACAATGTTACCGAGAAAAAACATCCGATTTGCTCCCATCGGACTGGTTAACATGCTTAATTCAGGGGGTGCAATTCTGTCACTGGTGTTGGAAGATGATGATAATATGGTGAGGATTGGAGTGAAAGGAAGTGGAGAAATAAGGGTGTACGCTTCAGAGAAGCCAATGATCTGCAAAATCGATGAGGCGCCAGTCGAGTTCAAGTATGATGAGCAGATGATCACAGTTCACGTCCCATGGCCGAATTCTTCAAGCTTATCAACTGTAGAGTACCTGTTTTAACTTTTTAAGGACACTCCCAAGAAATAAAGACTTTTTTGAAGTGAATGAAAGAATAAGAAACATTTGAAACAATCAAATAAACAACCAAAATTACTCTTATTCTAATGTCAACATCTCAAAGGTTTACATAGGAGTAAATTTATGACATACTATGATTTCCCTAGTTCACAAAATGCAGAGGAAAAAACCATGACATTACTATGGGAGAGAGCCTAGATCCGGCAGATCAGGAACGGATACAAATATCATAGAAGTATTTCATCTTGAACGCTCACATTTAACGTCTTGTTCGGAAGAACGATGCTGTTGGTGACCACTACTTCATCTTCAACAGCCACTGCTTCTCCTGTAACAGAAGCGGCTACCAGATTGAACATCGTGATTAACAGGTTATCTTATGAAAAGGAATGCAAATAATCAAAAGGAAGTACCAAGAATTGTGATTCCGAGTTTGGCATTATAGTCTCCTTCAGCCTGCAACAAGTCGGATTTGAATTTAGCACAAAAATGGCAGCATTGGTTTTCACTATCAGGCTAAAGAACATTCAACATATGTAAAACGGACTTGGACCGAGTGTCGGATATAACTATGAATCTAAATCGGATATGCTCATTTTTTCCCAAGTTTTTACATATATTTAGAGGATAACATCTCATGCCCACCTTTGAGTATGTGCTAAACATAGATATCGGTCATTGATACTTCAAAAAAAATAAAGAGTATATTTCAGTAATCAATATTCAATATCATGTAAAACTTGCCTGAACACGGGACCATTTCCCGATAGAAGACTTCCACCCCACGATTGCGTGAAAAACAACGGCATTTTCCTGAGGAAAGAAAAAATGAGTCACCAATAGGAACAAAGAAAATCAATATTCATGCCTCAGATCTTCAGATTCGAGGCAACCTCGAGCAATGTTTTCTATACCAAATTAAAAACATAGAATTCGGTTGATTACCATGATTTCAACACCATCAAGAATGATACAACTGATGAGCCTTACACCTGCTCCTATACGGGCATTAGCAGATATTGAGACATTGGGACCGATCTGTTTAACATGTAGCGGAGTAATCAATCATATAGACTATGCAGACAATAATAAAGAAAGAGAATGCTCATAAATTAAGGAGCTACACAATCGTGGGTGGAAAATATTTTCTAATCTAAGTGGGTACTAATTGGGAGTTGTATTTAATTATTTTTCAAAAGCATTTAAGGAATGGCAAATAGCATACAAGTATCTGATATACTTTATCACCCACTTAAATTGGGCCATAGGTGCTACAACAACGGAAGGGGACAAAGTTATCTGAATTCCATCAATCAAATGAAAACTTTATAATAGTCGATTCACCTACAGAAGTAGTGCTCAACTCTGCAAAGCACATTAGGATTAGAATGCAATGAAAAGATGTTACCTTGGCACTTGGATGTACTTTTGCTGATGGATGAATATAAACATCACCAATAATGGTGGCACTTTTTGTGCCATCCCCACTAGCCAAAAGATTGGGAGAAGTGAACCGGAATTGGGCAAGATACAGAGCAGAACACTTTAAGGACATTCTGCAGATATGAACAAGGAAAAATCAGGCTTAGTTGAAGGGGAAACTTATGCTTTGCTTTTCATCTTGTTATGCAATTCTCACTCGGGCTTGGTTTTGTTTGATTTTCTGATTTTAATCTTGGTTCTATGTTTTTGTTAAAAAAAATACAAAAACTAGGGGCCAAAATGAAGACGGGGAATAAAAAAGAGGGGACAGTCTGGCTTACCCCGGGGTTTTTATTTGTTCCCAGAAATCCATGGTCTCATATGTATACAACTGCTTCTTCCCAGCAAAAGGCGTAAGGATGTCTTGATCCAGCCTTACAAAATCTGACGGAGGATTCCTGATAAAAGGTACTCTTATTGGGATACATGTTGAGAAACTTCCAACATAAAGACGAGTACTCCACTATGCGAAAAAAATGCAAAATGGGGGGGGGGGGGGAGGCACAACCAATACAAAAATCACAATATGATTTAAAATTGTCTGAATGTTTACAATTCAGTTTCATTTAGATTCCAGCACCATCTAACTAAAACAGTGCATAAACTAAAAGTGAGAATTTACTTGTGTAATCCATGAAGACAAAGAAAGAGAAATGAATGGGGCATGCACCTAATATGCTGTGATGATGTAAAATCAAGAAAAGAACAGACATACCTTGTAGCAGACTGGAGGGCTTCAAAGCTGGAAAGACGTCTCAGATTGGCTAGAGATAACAAAACATGAATTCAGATCTTAGCACAATGAAGATTAATGATATTCACATATAACAAGGATATGAGCAAAGGAAAATTTTCAATTGGATGATGATTTAGAAAAATGGGATAACTTCAAAAGGAAAAACAGACTTTAACGTTTAAAGTAGTCTAGAAAAAAGAAGTAGAAGAGGCAAGTGGATTCAGGTTATGTTTCCACTGAGTAGTGAGTACATAGCTGTAGCAACTTTGAAATTAGAAACACAATTTAAAGTTCGTTAATCACCAACCTCTGTCTTTCCGTTGAGAGGAAACACCTCGGATAGCATCAAAAATATCTGGTGTAAACACATAGACACCGCAGTTGATTCGATCACTTACCTGAATTATGGCAAGTAATTACAGCAGAGCATCCATTATATTCAAGCATTGAAAGGTAACAAAAAATAGAGAATTTTCCAAATTGTAGTTGAATCTCTAATCATACAAAAGTTTCAGGTTTCTCCGTATAATGTAACAGTTCATTGGTGACTGGATCTGCTACCAACTCCCCAAACTGGTTGGCTGACTCAGCTGAAACCTGCAAAGAGCAGAGAATGAGACCAAAAAACAAAAAAGTAATAATAATACAAATACTAAAAGATCACACGATGACAGAAATTTCATTGTGTGAACATCTTGCAAGTCTGCTGACCAACCTTGATTACTAGAATAGTCCCCATGCCACCATAACTTTTGTGAGCCTCTACAAAGGCATAAAAGAAAGAAAAAGGAAGAATTAATCGTCAAGAAGGACAATATAAACAGAAATAAACTTTGCTGTCATTGTATAGTGCCACTGCTAGTTTTACTTCAGTCCTAAAAGACTGACACCAGAATTTTCGCAATGTAAAACACACTACATAGCATGATAGCAGCAAGAAACTATATAAATAAAATTAAGATTGATAGGTTACAGGGCTCAAACATTGTAAAGAAGATTACCGAGCATTTCTGGGAGTGGGAAACTGCAGCAAACATCACAATTCAGCAAGAAGATATGAGACTGCACAAAGAAAAGCACACAACACATCTTTGTAAGTCAAAGTGAAGTATGTACGGACATACAGTGCATATTGCAGCCTGTGTATTTCACACTACGACATATAGAAATATATGCCTCTATGAAGGAAACAGGTTAAGATATAAACCGGATTGTCTTCCATGATCAGATCTCTGAAGTTGTAAAGCCCCCCAGCTGAACCATGTGGCTTATCTTCCCTCAAGTATCTGATAGCAGCATAAAAAAATGATCACCACTAAGATGAAGCAATCATAAAGGCACATCAATCCCCTCATGAGAATTTATAAATCTAAGTAAGCACAAAAGCAAGGATTTACCTGACAGGAACTCTTAGCTCGGTAGAGATTGATGAGACATACAATGCAAACTCACGCTCCTCATAGAAACCGACTAGATAGATCTGGGCTAGATTCGGAATCTACAACAGAGTTGTTAATCTTAATAAATACCGGAACTATAAATAAAAAGTCCATATTTTATGTTCTGTAATATATAGATCAAACATTATACCCTTTTACAAGCAGATATTGGGTGATGAATCATAGGTTGTCCAGCCAAAGGAAACAAAGGCTTTGCAACGTTCAATGACAAGGGACGAAACCGAGTGCCTGCAATATGCGAAGTTCCAACAAAATCCTAAGCTATTACATGTTAAACCTTCATATTGGATGGAAATGTTAAATACAAATGAAAAAACAAATGCATTTCAATTTCCGAGATCTCAAGCAAACAATTGAAAAGGAAAGAGGTTCAGTAATTTGACTTTAAATTGTGAACACAAATGAAAAAACAAGGACAGAAACACATCAGCCATTGGAAACAAACTCCATATCCAATCCAAATAACCCGAACGGAATTATAAACAAGCAACCCAGAACATTCAAGATCGAAAATTTTCAGCATAAGAACTTAATCACAGCATAATTTTTCAAAGAACAAGGTCATACCTTTAGTGGGTCCACCCACCATGATCACAGCAACAACTTTCTCGTCTGAGCTCCCCATCTTCAAATCAACAAAAACCCAGATCTCCAATAACAACAATTCCCGAACAAAGTATTATATAACAAAAATAAGACGACCCTTGGCTAAAAAAACAAACAAACAAAATGAATTCACATCCAACACACGACCCATATGAGATATTCGACGAAAATTCAGTTCATTCGCTACCGACCAAATAAGATCGAAGCGGCAGTGACTAAAATGTCTGAAAATGCTGAAGTAGAAAGAAAGAAATGTTGAGAGATAAAGAACGTAAAACAAAGGAAGCGGCTTTCTTGAATATCCAGTAAAGTGTGCAGAGAATCGGATAAACGAGTAGAAATTGGGATATCCGAGGATGAGGCAGACACCACTCGCTTACGATAAATAAAGCTAAAAATATAAGAAAATAAGTGAAAATAAAAGCATAGGAGGCCAAAAGGAAGGAAGTTTCCTCAGCCTTTGCGCTTTGCCCAGCTTAATCACATTTATTTGATATTGAAACCGTACGTAATAATGTGTCCGATTTGTATGAATAAATCGGTATCACTCATTAAAGAAATATTTTTTTTATAATTTTAGATTCAAACATCATATATAACAGGATATATATATATATATAATATCAAATAATTAAGAGTCTTTAAATAAATACTACATTGTATTTTCCTTAATTAATTAAAAAATCCTGATGTTCTCTTATTACTATTATTATTTTATATTAACTTTTTAACCACTTTGAAATTATATTTGTACAATTTTTAACTTTTAAATTACACCTTTTTATTTTGGTACAAAGTTTTTTTTTATCTCATTTTAATATGTTAGGAGTTTTAAAGGTAAATATATACTCTCTAAAATATACGATAAAAATAATAAAGAATAATGAAGCAATCTCGAGATAATCGACATCTTGAAAGAAAAAATGACCAATATGAAAATACCCAATTTCAAAAGAAAAATCGTTCAATTTGAAAACACAAGTTAAAAACATTAGTACAACTATCTACATAAAAACAATAAATGAAGTTTGAAAGAAAACTAAAAGGATTACAAGTTAAATAAGGGCTCAAACATACAATTTTCATTTATTAAGATAACATATAACTGATTACGATCTATCTCTCTAATATTCTCAGCGGAGTTGTCACGTTGTCGGAATGGTCTTTAAGCTTGTAAAAAAGCTTTACTTTGTGAAAAAAATCTAATTTGAAGTCGTCATCCACCTTTTGAGTTAGGTAAGGTCGCATACATATAAATCATTTTAAAAAAAAAAATTAAAAAAAAGGTTTGAGAGTTAATTATGTACGGAAAAGAATGAACATCGCTATCAAAATCAGTTATAGGGGGCAACATTGTCATTAGGGATGGCAAACGGGCGGGTCGGGTACGGATACCCCCTCCCCCATCCCCATACCCACCTAATATTTTTCAATCCACCACCCGCCCACCGCTCATGATGGGTACAAATTTTCAAATCCACACCCACCCACGCGAGTACATTTTCAAATCCATCCCCACACCTACTACCCACTAGCGACATACCCATCTAGACCCGCCTGACAGCAAACTAATGGGATGTTGGAGTTGGTTCCCAGACAGTTCGTGATGGGGTAGCAACGCATGCTTCAATTTGTCAGAGGAGTGCCTCTACGAATGTTATGAAGACAAATTGTAGGGAGCATGTAGATGGAAACTGCTGCTTTTGATGTTAATGCATATAGTACGGCTAATTTGTGTTTGGATGGGCAGCATGGGCTAAAGAACATGGAAAGTGACGTGGTTAGTGGGATTATGGGTTTAATCAAAGAGCCGAATATTTCCCTAATTAAAGACCAGATTAAAGATTAAATATCCTTAATATTTGGTTAAATTATATGTTATATATTATACAACATTAAAATTTATAAATTAGTCTCTAAAATTACACCTAAATTCATAATGGTCCAAAATTTAATAGATATTTAGCTGGGCGGGTGGATGTGGGGCGGGCGGATGCGAGGCTGGTAATGTCTCAAATCCATTACCCGCCCACCACCCACGACGGGTACTACTTTATAAATCCACACCCGCCCACTACCCGCTAAAATTATACCCATCCCCGCTCCAATTGGAGCGGATGCGGTGCGGAATCCACGAAACTGTACCCATTTGCCATCCCTAATTGTCATATAACCACCAACTTGTCATATAACCACCAACTTAATTGATACTATCAATTCATCATTAAAAGGAACATTTCATTTGCCCATAACTTTCCTGATTAAATCAACCTATATCGTTTGGGTAAGCTATTCGGGCACATACGGGGCAAGCGCTTACTTAGATATAAAATGACCATATTTTTCACTACAAATTAAATGTATATAGAAGAAAGTTATACCCTCAAACGAGATGTTAGTTATATATATATATATATATATATATATATATAAGAATTATTTTATATTATATAGATGTCGTGACCTTTTTAAAGTATTGAATCAAATACTTTTGAGGTGAATATGTGAAAAAGATGATGTGATCACAATTTCTTTTAAGTTCTCATATATCTATGCCCCACGTTATAGTCGCGTGTTCACGTGTCACTATCGATTACAAGAGATATGTGGATCTTACATACTGACTTTCATAAATCTTCAAGGTATACAAATATCAGTTTCTCTCGATCGACAATGAAAAATAATAGAACGAGATTCAAATTCAACTTATAATTCTACCTGTCCTATATTACACATTGAATCTTTAGATCATATGAGATCCACCATTATTCATAAAGGTAAGAATATGAAAGATAATACCAAAAAGGAATGTTATTCTTCTTAGATGTATTGGGTTCAAGTTACTACATCTGCAAGGTGTGTGTACATTGTCAATTGGTTAAGAATTTTTTGAACATATGTCACCTTGTAATTACCCTAGACTATTAAAAAAAAGGTAAAGTACACAACAAAACAATACCCTATAATCGATAACCATTTTATAACTATTAATAGTCAAATTACTCAACAAATCAATGACATATAGTTGGGAGACCATTTATCTACATTACCCTTAAAAAACTAACCATACCATAATCATTCATTTTATATTTCTACAAAAATAATCAAAACCTTAAACCCAAAAATGAGAGAATAATAACTAAAATCATCTAATTTTCATAGGCAAAATCCATGAGATAATGTTCTCAAAATATTTATTTCACGAGATAATGCTCTCGCCATATTATTTGCTGATATAGGGTGAATTCTACAGTGTGCATGCAGGTCACTAGGCGCTCCGGGCGACCAAGGAGCAGGATGCACTCAGGCCGTAGGTCGCCATGCACTCAGGGCGACTTAGGAGGCATGTGGGAGATGTGCATGGCTCATGCACGTCGAACGCCTCAAACTATTTATTTCACGAGCTATGCATGCATGTGGGAGCTGTGCATGGCTCGGGGTAGGTCACCATGCAGTCTCGGCGACGTGGTAGGTCGCCATGCACGCCCAGCGACCTGTTAGGTCACCATGCACGCCCGACAACCATTAACGCCTACTCCTGGTCGCCTGCTCTCGCTGCTCCCTCATGTATGTGTTGCATGCCATAGCTGGGAGATTCCTGCAGCCATAGTTGCATTATTGCAGCGTTAATTTAGCTGCTAAATGCAACAAATATTACTGTTGAATTGTAGCATTTCAACGCTCAATAATTACACGATTCAATGCTCAATATTATTTGCTTCAACGGTCAAATTTAATGATGCTCTCCAATGCTCAGTTGATTTATATAAAGGATATGAGGGTTTAGGGTAAAAGCAGAAGCAGAAGGACATATAGAAACTTTGTCGAGAGAAAGGAAAGGAAGAAGAAGAAAAGAAGATAAAGGCTCAAACATTGTTCGTGAGGTAGTTTTTTATTGTTTAATTTAGTTTATTATATGAAATTATTAGTTTGTTAGTTTAGGGTAAAACTAAAATTTAGTTAATTAGTTTGTTAGTATAAATTATTAGTTTGTTAGTTTAAGTTATATTATATTAATTTGTTAGTTTAAGTTATATATTATATTATATAAAAAATTAGTTAATTAGTTTCTTAGTTTAAGTTATTAAATGTAAAAAAATATTTAATTAATTTGTTAGTGTCTTTAAACGTATATTAGGTTGTTTGTTAAAGTTGAAGTTATATTATAAAAAAAATTAATTAGTGCTTAATTAGTTTGTTAGTTTGTTATTTTAACTAAGTTATATTATAATAAAGAAATAGTTTAAGTTATATTATAATATATTAGATTATATAATAAAATTAATTTGTTTAATTTATTGTTGTTTAAAGAAATATTTTGTTTACACGTACAGGGCATTATTCCACAACATTTGCCCACGTACAGATTGATTCGAAGAAAGAAACAAGAAAGGAAAGGAAGAAGGCATAAATACACGAATAATTTATTATTTTGTGTTGTCCATTTTTTGTTATTGTGTATGTGTAAATTAGTTAGTTAGTTAGTTTATATTAAATTATATAAACTAATTTGTGCGAGATAATTCTCGTTTAAAAAAATATTGTGTTTAAAAATATTTAGTGTTGTTTTTAAAAAATATTTTGTTTAATTTATATTATATGTGTAAATTAGTAAGGAGTAAAAATTAATTGAATGAAATATAATCTTAAAATTTATAACAATTAATTAACAAATTTGTTTGATATTTTAAAAAATATAAAATATTATCAAACTAATCATTATTATTAGTAATAATTACTAAATGATTAGTATCAAATCTAAATCATTAAATATTTATAATAAATAATTATTAGTAATCATGACTAAATCATATTATTATTAAATCATTAAATATCAAATCATTATATTAATAATAATTATTAAATCATTATTAGTAATATTAGTAATCAGTCAATCAAGTTAAATAACAAATTTTATTTTATCTTTAATATAATAGTATATTATATTATATTTAATTATTTAATGATTTATGAAATTATCTTATCTAATTTTTTAATCTAAATTTATTTATTTTTTTATTTGTAGAGAAAATGAGCAACATTTTTTTTCATGATTGTCCATTATAATGGACAAATTATGGAAAATGAGGTCGGAGTTGTTTTTTAGTCTGAAAAACCAATAAATATGATGTTAAAAAAAGACATCACATTTATAGAAATGAAGCAGAAGATATAAAGAAAAATCCGAGCTGCAGTTGATGGTTTGAGGTATAGGTTTATGATATTCCCCAACCCAGTCAGATATGTTGTAGTTCCACTTGAAGAAGATGATGATATTGGAACCATGGTTGGATTACATAAGTCAACCAATATAGAAATTATTGAGTTATTTGTTGATGTGCGTAACATATGCAATGTTCCTGGGTCATCAAAAGGTGTGGCT